CCTCATAACTTTTTAAAATTTTGAGACAATCTTCTATAAGAGAAATTAGTAGGTATCTGGACGAACTATTCTGATGCTCGATTACCCAGCCCTACTGCTGACGTTATCTTTAGTTTCAGCGTAGATTCCATCAGCCAGGGTGCACTGTGCACATCTGATTGAAGACATCTACTCCTCAACAGGATGAGGTCAAGTCATCTCTTACTGCGACCCAGTCTTCTTGGGTCTCTTGGTCGACTTGGTCTCTTGCAAATGTTGTCATTTCTTCTTAAACTTCTGTTAATAGAATCTCCCAGGCTTTATGACTCCTAACTTTCCAAGAGCTGTTACAAATTCAGATCAGTGACTCAGAAAGCTGGTCCACGTGTTTTTTTTAAGACAGCTGTGATCTGCATGGTCCTGGCCTTCAGACATGCTTGGAGAGAAAATAACTATATTATCTCCTTTTCCTGGGACTCTCAGCAACCAGCTTTGGTTGTCTACAAGCCAACATCCAGCCTAAGCTTGTCTGACTTGCTCGCTCCTAACTCAGTAGTGGAGAGCAGAAAACACTAACAGAGGAGATTCCTAACATCCAAGGGTAGCACAGCCCTCTGCGGATGCCTGTCTGTCTCTGGTGATGAAAGAAAAAGTCCAATAGACTAAATATGTGGCTGACTGTTGAGTTTTCTTGTGGGCTGGAGAAAACTCCTGCCTTGACCTAGTGTTCCACATCCTGTAAGTTGCACCCAGAGGAGCTCTCTGGATTTGTTTCCCACTCAGTGAAAGAGACAGTCACCAGGTCATGACCCTTTCTTAGAGATTTCTTTCTCAGATATATTCTTACGTGAGTCACTGTGTCTTGAAAGCTATCTCAAGCAATAGTCACTTATATCTTAATGCCTTCCAGACTCATTTCATTTCTTCAAGCCATCCCTTGCTTCACTGCTATTTTTCTTCATTTCTTCTACAAACCCAGTTTGCTTTAGACCAGGCCTTCCCAGCCTGCTGAGGCTTCCGTACTTTCTTTTATCTTTTAATGCACACAGAAGCACATAGGTAAGTGTGAGTCTGAGAAGTTTAAGAGATAGCAGAAACCAGTGATCCCTGAAATGTTTAATATGAGCGGGGTATCGTTGCCCCATAAATAAACACATTAAGCAGGCTGCGTTGTGTTGACAGAGGTTTCCCTCACCCATCCCAGCTTGTCATTGCAGGTTCTGAAGGAAGTTCTCCAGAGAAAGAGCTCTTTTGTTTCCTCTGGACTGTGTAGTTTGCATAATCTGGTTAAATACAACGAATACACACATGCACAGAGGATTGTGGGGGAAAATGGCTGTGTGAGTAAAGGCTGAGCGTTGTGCCTAATCTGACAACAATATAATCAATCGCTTATTTGTGTACACTGGAACAACTTCTTGGGACTGCAGCCTATTCCTGTTTCCCAACAACGCTGTCATTAAAACAATGGGGGCTGTAATTAGTGTGATAAAAAAGGCATTATTTCTCCGGTTCTTCATCTGGCCCATGTGCAGAAGGAAGAGGTTTTCTTTATAATCTCTGGGACCAGAAGGCTCCTTCTCCCGCCGGCTCCACGGACACAAAAGATTTCTCCGCACCGGAGGCCACAGTGTGAGAGCCTTTGTCTGAACTGAAAGGGCGCAGCCCAGGCCTTCTGCCAGCACCGGCCGTGCATGAAAGCAGAGCCTTTATGTCCCCACGAGCTGCTGAACGGCACACAGGGCTGTAAAATCTGTCCTCTCCTGTCACCTCAGCTGCCACCGTGCTGCTGCAGTGCCACCGGGCCCTTGAAAAAGGCAGTCTGTGCCTCGCACCCTTGCCAAGCTGGGGATGGAGAGCAGGCAATCTTGCTAGGCTCAGTAAGGAGGGTGGCTTAGGGATGACCTCTCAAACAGTCGATCCAACTATTTCTGTAGCTGGGCAGTTCTGTCCCAGCAAATTTTAGCTTTGATTCAGTTTAGTTTATTGTATAACCTGCTAGTAGGGCAGATCACTTGTTTGCCATGAGCTTGCTGTCCAAGTGTGTTTTTCTTCTGGTCTTTGTGGAGAAATGCTTTAAATGAGGCACGTAGCTCATAGAAAATCTGAGGGCACAGCCTAGAGAGCCAAACTGCCAGCTAGGTGCAGTCAGCATCTCTCCACTGCCTTCAGCAGAGCTGCATTGACTGGCACCCCTGAAAACTTGGGCTGACTCCAGCAGGGGAAAATGGAACTGCAGTGGCCAGAGAGAAGAAGGTGCGCCGGCAGCAAATATTTCCCTGCGATCTGATGTGAGTGGCTGCTGGGGGAACATTCACCTCCCCACTGATGAGAATGGCTAAAGCGTATCAATAAGTGCTGACATAACCAGTGCTGTTGTTAACACCCTCTTTTAGAAAAATGTTTACCCCATTGCAAGCATAACTGATGTAAATTGAATGTGTCAGGCTGAGCAGAAGCCTACCCCCTCCCTGGAGCTGCTTGTCTCTCTTTTGACAATGTTCAAACAGCAAGCCTGCTCACGTGTGAGTGGAGGCTACCAAAAACACTGCATCAAAAAGCAGAAGCCATCCTGTTACAATCTGCAGCTTGTCAGGATTTGACAGTGTTGTGAAATATAAATGATCTCTGAGATAGCAACGCCTGCCTAAGTCACCGGTAAACAGCTCCCTCATTAAAGAGATGCTTTAGAAATGACAGCACCAAATTACACTAATATTTTGTAGAAGTGCTCTCCAGACAGAGATCCTAAAGCAAGATTTGCCATTCATTTGCCAAAAAGACGATTCTTTGCTAGCAGAGGCAATGTGGCCTTTCCTTTTGAAAAAGAGACACCAGTAAGCAGGATTTAATTGAGACAAAAATGGACCTCTTTGGGTGTAAGAAAAAGGATGATGAAAGGGGAGATAGATTTTTTTCTAATGCTCCTTTTTTTTTTTCTTCATAAAATCATCTGTGACCTTCTGTGACCCATAGATTGTCTTTGGTTCTAAGTTTGTTCAATGCCTAATTCAATATCCTTAGATATCCTTAGCCATGACAGTAACTCATAGGTTCTAACCCACAATACAATCTTGCTAATGGTTATAAATGCCTAGATCTGAAACTTGCTTGATCTGAAAGTATATTCTACTGTTCAGTGCCCTCTGTAACCTCTTTGGAGAACAAACTCAGAAACAACTCTTGGGAAAGAACCCTGAGTCATCCTGCCTCTCTTTTTAGCATTTGGATTTTCCTTGGAGATTTTTTTTGGTTGGATTGTACCTTGCTTTTGCTTATCTTTGAGATCTGTTGAGATTAGAGACCAAGATAGACTGCCTACAAATGAAATCATTAGAAATTTCACCTGCATTGAGTCAGATAGCAGGATAATACAGGCTGCTTGTATTTCTCAAGTGAGGAATCACTGAGATCAGCCTGTGTCAGAAAAGCCACTCATAAGGACAGGCTATAGGCAGGGATAGAAAGCATTTCTAAAGATTTCCAAACTTCTCTGGGGGATGAAAATATTTGATGCTTGTCAGCAGGCTCTGTCTGAGCTTCTTTTATAGTAACATTAACCACTAGAGGATCAGTTTGCAGCAGGCTGTCTGCTCCTTCCCTTCAGCAAAGATCTGGGCTCTTCTTTAGCACCGCTCTCTTGTACCTGCCATTGTGCAGCAGAGAGACCCTCCACCCATCACCATCCATAACAGGAACTCAGCACAGGAAATTCTTCTGTGTGCTTAATGTGTCGGTGAAAGTTATTTCTACTACAGACAGGTCCCATCAGTCCTGGATGTCATGTTTTCATTACTTTTTTCAGTTGCTCCTTTAGGAGACTTTTTTCATTTTCTGAAGATTTTTAGCACATCCATCCAGCAGCTGGTTAAGGCGATAATCTCTTCCTTTCCTCTTCTTTATTTTTTCCACTCAGAATCTCATATAGAGGCCCATATAGCTGGCTGCAGCCATGTTAATATGCACAAAAAATGGCTGATGCATCTGAAGACAAATGTAGGCATTTGAAAACTTATGTGGTCACTCCTCCTTTTTTTTTGCGCTTTTAAGTTAGACTAGTTAAGTTAGAAGCAAAAACTTCAGATTAACTCTATCACCTAGATTTTACCTTTAATATCCTTACAATACAAATATCCCAAGTACCCCTGCTTTTGTCTTACAAGCATAGCATATATATGCTGAGAATAAGAGAAACACAGTACTATAGAGTAAAGGAAAATATTGTTTTGATACTAAGTCCACCAGATTCTAATATATAACAGTTTTATCCACTCTAACACAACATTTGGAAATATTTGGTTAATATAATGCCCGAGATTTTTGAAGAACTAATAATAGATTGCACTGACTGTATAAAGAGTTGGCATTGTGTTAAATAGATCTCAGTTTATGAAGAGTTTGGTCTCTGCCAAGCAGATGGTGAGATGGGAGCGTCTCCTTCGCAACAGTGGAGACTTGAGCAAATTTCTGATAGCTCATTTGGTTTGTTCCAAGATTTTTGTTGCTTTTGTCAGGTGGAAACAACACTTAATCCTTGCTGTGTTACAGAGTACTGAGTAGTAAGAGTGCTCAGCTCCGTGAGTCAGCTTCAAAGCCAGACATGCAAGGCTGTGAGAGGTGTCATCACCTACCGGTGCCAGCTGGGATATCCTTACTTTGTCACAGGCTGAGAAGAAGGGCCCCACATCTTCTGCATTTTCCCATAGGTTTCAGGTTTGAATTTCTTGCAGAGTGAACAATCTCTGAGTGTTTAGAAAATACTGAGATTGTATTAGACGCAGCCACAGAAAAGTACCATAAAAACTATTAGCTACATATGACGTAAGAACTTACTGCATTCCCAGAGCACATGGCTACTTGTATTGGTCTGTGTTCATCATTCCCCACACTCCCACCTTTGCGTGTTTTTAATAAGATTTTCTTTCTTACTTGGTTTGAAATTAGATGCAGAGGCCTGATACATTTAATCTGACAAGGAAGCCACAGCTGTCAAGAGCTGTAGTAAGGTGTGAATGAAAAGCTTATGCTGACAGAGGAATCCATACTCATAGCTCTGATTTACTTGGGGCAGGTTCAACTGTAGTCTGCTGAAAACACTTAGACGTTACACAAGAGCATAAGATACCATGATTCCTTGCCAGGTTGCTTTTCTTAACACTGTGTGATTGTTCTTTTCTTTCCTCTACATCTAAAGCAAGGGAAAGAACCTGACGTTCATTGTGATGCCCATTGAAAGGTTTGTTCAGCCAATGTAAAAGGTATAATTTGTAATGTCTTCCTCGCAATAGCTTCCTTAAATTACTTCACATTGATCAGTTCATGCTTTTAATGGGGATTTGGCTTGTTATAAAGTGGAAGTTACTTATTCTGGTAAGAAAAAGACAATAGCAGAGCAGCTGGCAAGAAAGGGGTGGAAAGTTATATAGTTTCAACAGTGGTATAGATCCCTCTTGAAACCACAAGGTCAAGAAGATGGAAGATGCAGTGCTGCTATGTCTGATGAAATTACAAATTCATGGAATCATAGAATAACTCAAGTTGCAAGGGACCACAAGGATCATTTGAGTCCAGCTCCAGGTTTGCCTTTCGATTCTGCATCACTGATCTTCTCATGGAGACTACGCTTACAGGTGGCTGAGAGTCAGAGGGTTGCTAATGCTTCATGCAGCCTGGACCCAGAAAGATCTCTGAAAATGGGAATGTGGGACATTCAGTAAGCACTTCTTTGAAGCCTGGATTGTTGAGAAATGGTTAAAAACTTCCCTGCAACTGCCCAGACTGTAATCTTCAGCAACCGCACAAACGCTGGTATTCTGGTTGGCTTGTTACATCTGTGTAAAAGTAATATTGTGCATATTTTTTAAATATACAAATGCTGTTTATACACATAACAGAAAATAATAAATACATGTAAGGTTAATTCTACAGCAGACTTTTAGTACACCAGCAATTGAGTGCATAAAAATCTCACACTCATACTCTATAGTTGTTCCTCTAAAATAACATTATTTTTTCTACAAAACCCAATTAAACCAACAAGAATTCCACCAAGAATAGAAAGTTCTCTGTCCTCAGACAGCTAATATATCTCACTTAGGCTTTTGAGAGCCCTAAAAGCAAAATTTAGTAGCTTGTTTTCAGCAACGCTCTTCTACAAGGAAGAAAAAGGAATAATTTATTTTTGATTCATAGGAAAAGTTACTATGCAGGGGATTGTGAGCTGCTATTTTGATGACTGTCTTTGTGGGATATATTATAGGCTCTAATTAAGTAAACCCTCTCACATGTCTATAAAGTGCACTGTTTGGCAGTGGAACAAGCACTTGCCTATGAGTGGACTTAGATCAAGCCTGTAGCAAAGACAACTATGTGTATAATAATTCTATCCAGAGTTCTAACAGTAAATGTCAGATAAGGCTTCAAAGCATGTAACGTGTTAAAGGGAGGAATTTCAGAGGAATCCATACTTTTCTGTTTTGTTTAGTATGGTTTAATTCCCCTGCAGTAACTTAGCATGGAGCCAAGGAGCAGAGAAGAGATGAGGAGTCCTGCTTGATGTGAATGTGATGGAGAGTGAAGGCAGGGCCCAGAGGAATGTGTCAGGGAAGCTACCCATAGTGAGACACTATTGGCGCAGTGATGGTCTAGTGGTGCAGTCCTCAGCTACTTCCTTCATTTGTTCTTTCCTTCCTTCCTACTTTCCTGCATTCCTAACCTCCTGCTTTCTCCCTTCCTTCCCTTTCTCTCTCCCCTTTTCCCTTCTTCCCTCCCTTCCTCACTCTTTCCGTTCCTTCCCTTCCCCAGTAAATATTCATACCTTCCATGTAAATATTCAGAAAACAGAAAAACAAAACAAAGAAATATCATGGTGTGTCACAGACTACTTGTCCAAAGTGCCACAGCTGTCTGGGATTTTGATGCATAATGAAACAAAAATCCTGTAACCTTCCTTTAGCTTTTAGGTTTTGGTCAGGGCAACCTTGAAATAATGTTTAGCTGCATTGAAATAGTACATTTGGACTATCAGCATAAAGAAGATGCACTATACATGTCAAAACAAGTTCTTATGTAATACAGACCTCTGTGGTTTCACTTACTAGTAACACCCTTCATAAGTCATAACAAGGAATGAAGCAATCTCTGTGATATGGAAATTTCTTCTCAAGTGCATAAATTATGTCTTAATGCTTCAATTGCTTGAAAAGTGGGACAGTCCCACAGGTCACCATTTCTATTCCAGTGATAAGATTTGCAAATATTAACAATGATTTCTGTTTTATGGGGAGAATTATCTTTACAGGCATGAGGGGTTCAGTTTAGATGAACGGGGTGAGGGGAGTGGAGGAACCTTAATTGCATTAAATTAGCAAAATCAAGTAATGTTGAATGCTTTAGTTAAGGTATGTCAGCATCTCTTGCTGTTTAAAAGTGTGCAGTTCCTCATGAAGACTTCCAAGCCTCCAAAAGTACATGTGGCTTTGCTTTACCATACTGAATTCTCCTTGTTTGAGCACTAAAAATGCATTCAGGCAGCCTCTTCAACTCGTACAAATAACATACATTGAAATGGAAAGCAGCAAAATGATGAATATTGTGTAATTCTATGTTAAATTACAAATAAATAAAACATCTGGGACCAGATGTTGCCGTTGGATTCCTGTATGGAAACGCCATTCCTTTCTGCAGTTTTGTGTGCAGACTTCTGAAAGCAGAGTTCAGCTCTTGATGTAATGAAACAGTGTTTTTAATGTAATATTAATGGAAGATGATTTCTCTATTAAAAACAAGGCAAGGTGGTAGATGGAGAGATTAGCATATTTTATAAAAACAGCTGAGGGTGTCTCTACAACAACCTTTCATAACAGTGATTTTTTAAAAAGGTTAAAAGGATGTAAAAACAACAGCGAAAGCAACTGGAAGAAACTTCTACAAAGAACCTGCAGTGAGAAAGGGAGCAGGCCTTGTAAGAAACAGCTCAGACGTCGCTCGGGAGCTTCAAAAGATAAAAGACCAGTGATAATAAGTATATGAGGATAAAGTCATCTCAAATCGTCCAACTTTGGGTGGATTTGCCAAGCACGCAGCTCTCATTTTTTTCCTAGTTGTCAGCCTGCTGAATCTTTTCATCAGTGCAGAATTTAGCAATACCCTGGGGTAGTAACAGCAGCCTCCAGGCATTTATTCAGAGAAGAAATTCCCCTTCACAGAGGTATGCAATGCTTGTCTGCAGACAGCCTTGCAGGATTTGATCTTCAGCAGGATCTAGAAGATCCTTTCTCACCACGGCTGATTTCTCAGTGGAGTCAAGGGCAGTGCACAATAATGCTTGTGGCAGCAGGCGCTGCTTTGCGACCGCTTTGTCACCCAGCTGCCACCTCCTGCTCCCCTCTGCTTCACCTACAGGGGCTTGTCTGCTGTGTGCTCTTTCAGGGTAGGCAGAAAGCCTTTGAGAATGGGGTGGATAAATCTGGAAGCCTTTTTGATGCCAGTGTTTGTTTTGAAATGTCTTTTAGGCGTTAAGCTTTTGAGATACACATCTCCTTTTCCCAGAAGTGCCCTGGGGGTCACCACTGCAGCCTTGCTCCAGTGGAGTGCAGCACATCCAGGCTCAGCATGGGTGGTGGACTTCATGGATGACCTTTTCTACAAAAACTTTTAGCCAGAGCAGGCAACCCTGTGAAAGGAATTAAAGAGCCAGGCAGTAATTCACTGCTTTCTGCATATTTTTTTTTGAGCTAAGGAGTCCTTCTTGCTTTTGCTGATTCCTTTCCCCACAAGCCAGGATGGTGCCATGTTGAGGAGTAGCTCTGACCCATGTCAGAGCTTCAGCCTTCACCCCTCTCCCCCCATGTTGAGTTTAAGGCAACCATTATATGGCATCTGTAAGCCAAAGGGCTTCTGTAGAACTACATTGGTGCAAAGGTCAATGCTGTCAGGTGTTCATCTTGCACTATCCAGCCCCTGGGCTGTGCCAGCAGCCCGGTATCCAGAGCTTCAGACCATCTGTGGCAATGGCAGCTCCAGGCATCTTGGGAACTCCCCACATTCAAAATACAGGCTCAAGTGTACTAAACAGCATTGTGGAAGCAATAGTAGGTGTCTGGTCCCAGGCAGCTGTCAGCAGTCTGTGCCTTCAAAAAGGTGGTGAAGGAAAGATGCATAAATAGCATCTACCTTTGCTACAGGTTATTTATTGAACCAGAACACAAGCAACCCGTGAGGGAGACTGGAGAGTATTTTATTTTGGTGACAGAGAGAGAAAGACTAACTTTTTGTCAGTGTCCTTAAAGTTTTACAGCACTGTCCTCCTCCTACTTCTTATTCTTCTCTCTTCCTTGACCCCTACCAGCTTGTGCAAACTCAGTCTTATGCACAAAGTCATCTGTCTGCAAAGTGCTTAAAGCTGAATGTCCTTGGCCTGTGGTTCTTAACTTTTCCCTGACACTGCCTATGGATGGCAGTTTCCCCTGATCAGGGTAATAAGCCTTCCCTTCCAAATGGGGTGGATAAATCTGGAAAACTGCTCTGTAGCAAAGCATAGGGCAGGCATTTGCTATTTGCTGACCCGCGTTTCCTTGAAATGGAGGAAGAGCTACTAGAGAAAAAACAACTGTTAACAGTGATTTGGTCAGCACTGTGTGGAATGACATCAGCAACAACCCAGCCAGATGGGACTGAGCACAGTGTCTGTGAAACTGTTCATAGCAGTAGTGAGCACATTCAGACAGACGCTTTCCATTAGACTAAACACAGATATTCCTTTAAATGTGTGCAAGGAAATGGAGCTGGAGACTGAAGCCAACAGTTAAACACAGCTGTTCCTTTGCCTTGCTTTGGAAATTTCCTTCCTCCCTACCTCTCTCCCCCCAATTATTTTTCTTTTCCTGGCATGAGCTCAAACTGATGGAAGGAAAAATGTCTGAGAAATCCTATGTACGTCTTCTTCTGCATCTTGGGCTTTTCAGAGCAAGCCTGCAGTTTCCCTTCCAGTTTCACTCGTCCAAATGTTACCTAAGCTAAGTCCAAGTGTTAAAACTGGAAGGGAAAAATGGAGTATGCCACTCTTCAGGTGTAAAAAAATATTGTGCCTGGCCTTTTTAAATGGTGTCTCTGAATAACACCTGCACAATACATTTTATATGTCAGTGTTCCAATTTATGATGTTTCCTTTGGCTATTGCTTTGTGCTATCCTGTTTTTCATATTTGACAGGAGCCCCTCCACCACGTCTCTTGAGTTTTTGTACTTTGGGGTGTTAATAATGAACATCTTGTGCTTGTTGCAGTGCCCATGTCTGACAAGGATGAAGCTGGCTTTTAAAAAATCCTCATCTGAGCTGAGTGGAAAATGATGTTCTCACACCATGGGACCTTTTTTGGGGCTTCAGTATTTTCTCCTCCTATGCAGAAATAAAATTCATGATAGGTTTGTGATGGATCTCAGTGCAGCAGCATAATTTTGGTCTTTATCAGTTAGGTTGGGCTGTGTGCTCCATCAGTCTTTATGACTAGCAGTGATGTCTGCTCCTTCAGGAAGAATTAGCCGGTCAAAATGGAGTGAAAAATACCTTCTTAAATGGGTGGTGTGATGGCTGAGAACTATGGCCATACAGATGTGGGAACAGCAAGTGCCTGTCCTTGTGCTCATTTCTCTTTGGGTCTCTGTGCAGGGTCCTCCTGCAGCTCACAGGCATTTTCCAGCAGGACTCTCCAATGGGTTCCTGTCAAAAAGAGTTTGTGTCCCTGAATCAGCATTTTCTGACTGGAAAGAAGAAATCCCAATCATTTCTTCTCATGATAAATGGGTTGATCAAGAGTCCCTGGCAGAAAGACTTTGCCCATCACTTGTGATTCAGCATGGATCTAAAAAATATATGGCAGCCAACTGACCTAATGGAAGATCTCCCAGCATTGCAGTGTGCAATAGAGTTAATCATTTTTAAACAACTGCATGTTTAAAAATACATGTTTCAATTATCTCCATCAGCCTCATGCGAACAGCACACAGTTGTTCCAACACCATCAGAAAAAGAAGGTTGCATTATCAAAAACTTCAGCTATTTTCCCCGGCTAATCTAGAAAGAGAATCCCAAACTCACTGAAGTGCCCTGGGCAGACATTTAATGGCAGTTACAGGCTATTTCTTTGCTGGAAGCAAGTCTATAATAGCTTTTTAAGCATCATTCAGTCTGAATTATCTGCTCAAGACATGTATATAAATCATTCTGTATTACACAATGTTCTTTTCTTGCCCCCTTTCTTGAGTATTACTTCAGCAATGTAAGTTCTAGAAAAGAAGCAAATTTTATTTCCTTTAGTTACTCATCACAGCTAGTGGGATGAACTGAGTTATGCCAGGAATTTTTGCCCAGTTTGTCATATTCAGAGGAGTGAAATTCTATCTAATTAAGTGGGAGAGGTGTTACAGAGAGAGGAGGCAGTAGCATACTTATTATTATTCATTGTTTCACTCCTGCTTGATTTTCTGTCATTTAACTAGCTGCATATGCTCTACACTGTTACAGCGTCTGAATGATCCATCAACTGAGAGAGGGTCATTTCCTAATGCTGGGGCTATCGACAAAAAGATTTTCACAACCTAAATTAATTCCAGCTCTAATTTTCAGTTATTTTATATAGGCAACCTATCGATGTTATCTTTTTGAGTGGGTATCTGTAGGATTAAATCTCATTCTGCCTGCTTGTGGTGTTCAACAGTCTCAGAGTTGCCTGGTTGGAGAGGAGATGGTCCTGCAAGATTCTGGTAATATCATGTCCAGCCCATTGTCTCTTCAGGGATGGCCAAGCACTTGGTGACATTGAGCAAGCAGCCTCATCTACCATTGTGCTCTTGCTGAGCTGGAGCAGGAGACATTTACATCCACATGAACATACACAGAGCTAATCATAAAATGACTTGCACTGGAAGGGATCTTAAAGATCATCTCATTCCAACCTTTCTGCTGTGCATTGCTTGCCCTCCATCAGATCAGGCTGCCCAGGGCCCCGTCCAACCTGGCCTTAAATGCCTCCAGGGATGGGGCATCCACAGCTTTTCTGGGCAGCTGTGCCAGGGCCTTACCACCCTATACCAGCTTTGGTGTAGGGAAGTCTGCTCAATCTATTTCTAGCTGATCATGAAGTATGAAAAGGGATATGTAGAGTAATTTTGGCAATGAGTGGTTAAAATGCAGCAATACTTGCAGCTTCTTTCTCTCTGAAACTGGCACCTGGTGGTAGGACCATGATATTCCCTATCAATTGCAGGACAAAGCTTCTATATTTTAGCAGGAGTGACAAGAAGGAGAATAAAGTTTGTTGCATGCCTTTTGAGCTGTGTACCTGACTATTAGCTAATTGAGACACAGCAGGCTAAATGGGTCAGTGTTCTACACAAAGGCTCAGGTGAACATAATGGGTCTGCAACCCCATCTCCACCCATCGCCCCTTAGTGTGCTGATTTGAGAATTAACCTTCCTGCCTGAACTCAATGTCCCTGAAGTGTATCCAAGTGACATTTCTGGAGTGCAGATATCACTAAAGCTGCCCTGCAGTGTTAACATCAGTGGGACTTGCTTTTCAGTGATCTACCAGTACTATCACTGGAAGAACGTTCTGATCAGTGATTCACCCCTTTCTCTCAGAACTGAAAAGAAATGTTTCCTGCTAGGAGGAAGACAAGTTTGTTTCCATAAGTGGTTGAGCTGGTTTTCTGAAGCTGCCAACAAAACTACCAGGCAAACAGTGGACATGTTTACATGGTGCTGACACTCGCCTACTGGGACCACTGCTGTCTCCACCACCTCACTTCACAGAGGCCATAGACAGCTGTCAGATGATAACAGCTTTGGATAATTAGTGTCCTGAAGGGCTTGAACTGAGGGCTCAAGAATCAAAAGCTGTATTAGAGAATAGCTATTCCCTCCTCACCCCTCGAGACAAGTTGTGTTTGTCAAGCTCAACAATATTATAAAAAGTAGGACTGAGAAAACCAGTATTACAAACTAAATTGCACTTACTATGTCTTGAGCTTACATTTCATTAGAAATCCCTCCTTACACAGGATACAGTCTTTTTAAGTCGTTAACGTCAATCCTGAAGTCCTTTCTCAGTTTTTACTCATACCTTGGATGCTTTCTCATTAACTTCAGTGGATGCCTCTTTGTCTGATTGAAAACTAAAAGGAGGCCTTGAGATTTGAACTAGTGGGAATTTTGCTTGAGTAAGCAGCAAGACATGTGGCCATGATAATAACCTTTTCTTTTTTTCTTTCCCCCCCCCTTTTTCCCTATTGCTTTTCAGACAGCTCTGAAAGAGTAGGAGGAAAGCAGTCAGGACTCCCTGCCTTTTTGGTTTGTTTTTGAGGATTTGCAAAGTGTTTTTCTTTCAAATTTCTAAGCAGAAGGTCATTTCAACTGAAAAGCCATCATTTTTCACTTACTAAATGTCAATTAAAAATGTTAGAGGTTTCTTTTTCCTACTAAAACAACACGAAGAAATCAAGATAATTACCAAAATGCCTAGGTCAGCAAAAATCCAGCCATTTATTGGATTGAAAAGGCCCCAAAGTTTGAACTGAATTTTGTCCTTTTTAATGTAAAAGTCTGGCTGTATCATCCCTCTGGAGACAGTGTGCAAACAGGACACATTGACAAATCTGTCTCTGATCATACAAGATAGTGCTGGATTAGGGGCTACTCTGGCTTGCCAGTCCCAGAGATCAGCATATGTAAAGGATGCTGTCTCTCACCACAAACATGGACTACTTAGATAACAGCAACTTCACTCCTTTCCTGACCTCCTAAAAAGGCTCTTCTTTTCAAGGCAAAAATGAGACCAAAGGCAAAATTGTATTTCAGAACTTTTGGACAGAGCAGAGCAGTTACCCCACCTTCATTAGTGGACAGTGATGGGTTGTACGGGGAAACCTCATTCTCAGAGGAAGCTTTACTTTAATCTATTTTGGAATTGGCTTAGAAATTATTTTAAAAACTAATCATAGAATCATCATAAAATCATTAAGGTTTGAAGCCAAAACTACTGAGATGATCTCGTCCTGTCAAATGTTGCTAAAGGTGACTTGGTCCTAGGCAATCTGCTCTAGGTGTCCTTGCTTGATCATGGAAATTGGGCCAGGTGACCTCCAAGAGGTCCAATTTCAGCCATTCTGTGATTCTGTGACTAAAACCGTGAGCAGATTTCTCTAAAACAAAATCAAGAACACATTGGAGGATGCAGCCTTCAGCTGGAGGGTGACAAAAAGCAGCTGCAGGACAGTAACAGCTTGAACTGCCGTAGACACTTTTGCAATTAGCATCTGAATGCACTTAGCATTTCCTGTCTTCACCTGTGGTTTTAACCTCAAACCTCCTTTGCTCTATTTAGTGCAGCTGTGCTGCTGTTTTATGGCTCCCTGCTCTGCCAGAGAAGTTCAGAAGAAGCCATGGCAGAAATGACTGAGGATGCTGAGTATGCCCATGCCAATCTCTACAAAAATGAGTCTTTTTTTTCATACACCACAATGTAATAATGGACACTGGCCCTTGCTCAGCCTCGTTTAATGACCCATAACTGAGTGAATAATTCATTCAGTGCCTGGAGATCTTGTGCGGAGACTTGTTTTACCACAGGGCCCTGGGGAATGAAAACAGCAATAAAGTTTCAGCTCTTAACCCATCCATTTACAAAGCCCAGTGATATTATTGCTTCCATGATCAATTTAAATGAACGTGTTGGAGTTTTACTAGCAGCCTCCTGTATTTCATGCCCCACTATGTATTTTTTCTTTCAGAGCATTTTTAGCTTATACTCCTTGTGGGTTTGAAGGGAATAGGAAATTCCCAACTGCAAAGTCACACTTTTATTTAAAGCTTTAATTGTTTTAAAGAGGAGCCTTTCTGAAATTTAGCCCCTTTGGATTACTGGCGCTGTTTGTTATCCTGTAAACTCTTTTTAAGCTTTGGGACAGGTTAATGCTATTCAGCATTGGTGTAATTTTTCTTAGGCTGTGCTACCATGTTTATACGAGGATCTTCATTTTGCTTTGGCAGCACAGTTTCTTTTCTGCTTCTGCAAATTACAAAAAAAAAAAAGATAAAAAAAAAAAACCTTCCTAAGCTGGATTGCTTTGCAGCTGTGAAAACCTTTAATAACTTCAGTCGGATTACAACTACATCAAAGGTATTATATATCCCTGAGTAACATATTTACTGGGCTTTTCAACAGCTGTATAATTAGCTCTGAATGACTACTTTTTTCCTCCACATCTTTAAATATCCATCTTTAAAAATTCACAGAAATTCAGAGGATGGTTTTCCCTTTCACAGAAGATGCAGCCTACCAGCTTTTTTTTTTTTCTTTTTCTTTTTTTTTTTTTTCTGAACATTCTATTTTCCCTTTTACAAAAGAAAAAATAAGAAAAATACGTTATCCCTCCATGTCCCTTGGTAACCAGAGGCAAAGTGTCAGCAACCCCCCGGCTCGCCGTGCCCCTCTGATTGATGGGAGTGACTCAGGCAGGGGACATGGGGACAGGGCCCTTTGTGGCATCCTCCAAGGAGGCAGCTTTGAGGCAGCAGCTGTCCCCGGAGCCTCTCACAGCCCCTTGCACAATGGGAGGATGGCAGAAGGTGGGGAAAGCGCTCGTGCCTCCACAAGGAGGAATAAAAGCTCCATATGTCCAAGGCTTCAACAGATGCTCTTGTGGGGCCAGCTCCTTGATCGTTGCTCCCTAAAAAAGCACCTCCATCACCGGTGCTGACAGCCCCTATAGATGGGGATGTGCCCCCACCAGGGTCCCACCATGGCCGTCAATGCTTTTTGAGAGGAGCAGAGCTTGGGGCCAATGGGACAGCACGTGGCCAAAGCCCCTCTTCCACAGTGACCCTACAGACATCCGCTGGGTCCCTCTTTGGAGCTTTTGTCATGTAATTACTTTTATTCTGGGAGCAGGAGGGCAAATAGGCTTTAAAATCCTCCTTAGCTCTGCCTGAGTTTTCTTTTCCTTTTTTTTTTTCCCTATGCTGAATGGCAGAAGGGAGTGCTGCAGTGCCTACCTGACTGGGAGGCTTGTTGGTTTATGCCTGCTGGTTTATGCTGTGCTGGTTCATCCCATGGCAGGATGGCAGAGGAAGGTGAAGGGAAGCTGCTACACAGCCTCTGTGTGATTTCTTCTTTTCATTTATTCTGAAGACCATAGGACTTTGAACTCAGTTTTTTCTTTGAAACAGCCTCCCAAGATGAACTCTGAACCTAGATTTGATGCTCCACACACGGTTTTGGCACAGCCCTGCACTGTGCTGCCTGCGTGGCACCGATGTGCAGTAAAGACCCAGCTGGCTGAGCACTTTCAGGACAAACAGAGAAGACAATTTACTATCTGATTTTATGAGAGCCATTTGCACTTTGCAGGATTTTTTAAGCAGCAAAACCCTTAAGAAGCACGTTCTGAGCCTGGTACCTCGGAGAATTGCGCACACATTTCCTGTCAGCAGCCGGAGAATGGTGTCTCACACCTGCTATGAAGAGATTGAAATATATCCTTAATGGCTTGATTGCTTTGCATTTCCCTGGAGATGGGATGACACACTGTGGCATGGTTTCTTTTCCACAAGGAGCATCCCGAACAGCAGAGCTGATGCTTGCTCGTACTGATGCTCCCTGGGATTTAACCTGTGCTTAAGATCTAGCTATGCTCATAGGGATGCTCCGGGCCTGAGAGGCAGCAGACATGGATCATAGGCAGTTGCAGGCAGGATCCTGAATTAGGGCTGGTTTAAAGGTCAGCTGATGGCTGGGATAAACACCCAGAGGAAAATGTTCCTAAAACAGATGCTTTGTTGCATGTATCATCCTGGGCAGCACTCTGAAAACCTGCAGTGAGAGAAGTTAAAACACATTCCTCAGTTTCCTAGCTCCATGTGGTTTGTCAGAGCATCCCACCACTGCCATATGAGTGCTGCAGTGATGCCAGGAAGATACCTTCCCACCTTGGCCAGGTAGAGCCAGCACATACCAGGGAATGGCGGAACAGGTCTTCCCCTGCATCCGTCCTGCTGTGATGCTCCACCCAAAGGCTGTCCCTGTCAGTGATGAAACTGTCATCACACAGCAAATATTCAGCACCCAAACACCATCCATTTCCAAGAAGATGAGCCCCAGCCTCTTTGATGCATGGGAAGGAGGTGCACTAAGGATGACTAAAGCACTTCTGTAGAGTACCCTTCTATTTCAGCATCTTGAACAGCTGCATGTCACCAGCCATTATCCTGCAGACCTCCGTACCAGCCCACCCCACCATGCACCCAACCTATGGAATGATTTTTAATTTCAGCAGAACACTCTGTGTCTTCTGTTGAATGTGATGGAAGCTGGGAGCTCCCACCCCATGGGAACACAGTGCAGTCCCATATCAGACTGATATGAAAAGGAAACAGCGGTGCTTTTCTGCCTCAGAATGTTTCTGTTTTTCAGGCACCTGAATATAAACTCTGTAAAAAGGGATTATATTAGATATGTAAATATTAATATTTATGAAATAAATCCCAAAGTTTCAACTCTTCTTTGGTTGTGGATATGTTGAAGCTTATTCCATGGAGGATGTTCTTTTGCTAACAGGTAAAAACGGTGGAAAAATCAGGACAGGTGATACCTGTTTTGCATTCCAATTAATGGAGGGAAAGCCCTGGAATTTGAGTAGCAGGTTTTTTTGTAACTTTCAATGAATATTTTCAAAGCTTTCTCAAATAATGTAATTTTCTTTGAACTTCAGTTGCTGGAATATGCCCAGAAATTTCTCACAAAGATAACCAGCTTTTCTTCTCATTGCCACTCCTTCACCTGCAAGATTCTTCAGTTGTGATTCCTCTTTCAGGTTGGGTAAAAAAAGGCTCTTCATCAGAGGGTGGTGGAACATTGAACAGGTTTCCCACCGCAGTGGTCACTGTGCCAAGGTTGCAAGAGTTCAAGAAGCATGTGGGCAACATTCTTAGTCATATGGTGGTCCTGTGTGCAGCCGGGAGTTGCACTCAGTAATCCTCAATGGGTCCCTTCCAACTCAGGATATACTATGACTGTGATTCTCTGTTCACATTCCCTGTGCTTCTGTGTGGATCCTTCACTCCTTGCAAAGGCAGCAGGACCTGGCCATTGCAGTCAGGCTGCTTGCAGAGGTGGCTGGATGTGGTGCAAGACCAACTAACTCAGGCCTTAGTGGACCAAGTGTAAAGATGTATTCTTGTATTCTTGGGTCAGCTTTGGAGGTTTCTTGTATTTTTTGGTGTGAGGAAGAGTAAAGAATGATCCTTGAAAATATCTTTGCAAAATGGAATTGAGATGAAGTGTCCATTTTTAATTTATTTTTTTTTAACCTAGGTCTCTGTGTAGCAGCAGGAGGAAAATCCATCCCACTTCTGTCAAAATCTTCAGGAGAAGATCCTGTCAAACATATGGGGATAAAATAGCACATGCCAATTTTACCCACCCTCCCTGGTCAAATCTAGTTCATTTTGTTGTCCCTGTGGCAAATTTCCAAGTGTCGAAGAACAGAATAACCTCCTCTATGAAGTCAAATGGAAAAAGCCAGCCTGAAAACCAGCTCAGGTTGACCATGGAGAATCATGCCTGCTGTCAGATTTGCCTGACCACACCGCTCTGTGCTCATGCCCATCATTCCTCTGCATCAGAGCTGGGCAGGAAGGAGGCAGCCAATGTAATTCAGGGCCCCATAATGTTTTATTTACAGCCGTAAGTAACTGCATACACACCCTCAGTTTTCCTAAGCTATCCTGTTAGCTGCTGAAGAATGGGATGTTTCCAGGGTGGTTCAAAGCCAGCTGTGTCCCAGCCGAGCACAGCACTTAGCCCCAGGAAAACAGCCCTCCCTCCCTGTATCAAGAGCATTGTGAACTTCAAACACTTCACAGCCCTGAGCTGCCTGTAGCTAATTCTGAGACTGGGAAGCCACATCTGTTTTGAAGAAAGGGTCTGATTTTAAGTGTTTAAACTAATGGTCAGCTACTCTGTTGTGGTTTGGCAGGCAGGGGATAGGAATGAGGCTGTCCCTTCCTGTGCATGAAATCCTACCCCCAGGAAGAGATCCCCTAAATCAAAAGGGCTTTCTTACACAGAAAGCTGCTGGGATGCAATGGCACATCTCTGGAGGGAGGGCTGGCTGCGGTCTCACTGCCACTGCTGCTCATGCTCCTCTGGACCATGCACAGCATGTACATGCAGCATCTGCTGTGCATCTCCCATAGCACATGCACCATAGCCCATCACACTGCTCTGAAGCAATAAAACAGGAGATTCAGTGTTAAGAGAGGCTCCACGATCACAGCCTATGTTAGAATCACTGAGTTACCTGAAGTCTCTTGATTTGTTAGCCCAGAGAAAAGAAGGCTGAAGAGAGGTTGAGTATTAGGGAAAGGTTTATCACCAGAGGGCAGTGGGAATTGAACAGGCTCCCCAGAGCTGTGGGCATGCCCCTGAGCTGCTGGTATTCAAAGAACATTTGGACAGTGCTCTCAGATACAGGGTTTGGATTTTGGGTGGTCCTCTGTGGAGCCAGAAGTTGGAGTCGATCCTTATGAGTCCCTCCCAGCTTGGGGTATTCTGTGATTCCATGATTTCCATCAACCAGTATGTCTGGAGTGAAATGCTCTGGCTTTTGTCTTCTGTGTCAGTTACACTTCAAGCTGTGAGCTTGTGTAGGGTGAGGCAGTGTGGTGGATGCCCCATCTCTGGAGACACCCAAGGTCAGGCTGGACAGGGCTCTGAGCACCTGATGGAGCTGTGGGTGTCCTTGTTCACTGCAGGGAAGGTGGATCAGATGGCCTTTAAGGGTCCCCTCCAACTCAACTTTATGATGATTCTGTGATCATGGAGGTTTCAGTTACTCACAGACTATGGAGTCATACTGTATCTCTCAGTAAGAGATTTGACCTCGTTGTCGTGAAAATACAGTTGCCCATATTCAAAGGGCAGCAATGTGAATCGCATTTCTGCAAGATGTTTGAGAGGAAAGGCATTGAGCTTTGGGTAAAAATAAAAATAAATGATAATGTCATACAGTCGATAAAGAAAAAAAAGAAAGGAAAAGGAGGAAATGGAAACAAATAAAATACTCTACATGGTGGTTTGTAATGGATCTGACAAGTCTTGAGGCTACCTCAGTAGCATAAGCACACATTCCAGGATGCATTATGTTTTATATTGTACATGTTAAAATATTTAGTAACTACATTGCTATAAACATTGTTTTGATCTCAAAGTGCGCTGTGTTTTAAAGCCTGTTGTACTCCAGGAAGAATTACATTCTCCAGCCTCCTTAATAAAAGCCACAATCTATGATGCTCTTGATGTGCACAGGCCCAGACTACACAGTATGATGACATTCTTCAAGAGGCCTTTAATGAATTAATGCCTCTCGAAATGGTTTTAAGCTTACAAAAAGAAGATGTGTGCATGATCCTAAATCATTTGGAGCCATTTTATTCAGTGCCTATTGATTTTAGTGCCAGTAAACCTCACTGCTGCCTGCCTCTGATGACTATTACATTATATCCTCCATAGCACACAGTGGGATTTAACGGCGCCAAAAATGTAATTTCAGCACAAAATTCAGAAGTCATTATGACATCAACTCTTCTTTTCTTCCAAACTGAAGGTACCTGAGGATCAAGCCTCCGAAGGAATTGGAACTGTTTCTCCAAAATGAGTTCAGAGAACTTGCTGCTCTATCTTTGTACTGGCCATTGGAGCTGGAAGGGATTTAAAAATAAGAAATGCCAAAGTTGGTGGTTGTTTTTTTTTTCCTCATGATGTATGCTTTTGTTTTTGTACGGCCAAATTATTTTAATACCAGTAATGACAGATGATGATCGCTGTTCCTGTGCTTGGTACCCATCTGCAGAAAGAAGCCCTCTCTCTTCTCGTCAGTGCTGCCATCTGAAGGGAGGTCACAGGGAAGGTGCTTCAGACAGTGTAAGGGCTGAAATAGCCATGCAGCCTGTGCAGAAGTGCTGATGTTCACTTGTAGTCCTCACACAGAACAATCTATGGGGGGATGTGAACTATTTCTGCCCCAGGTTGTGTGTGTTTCATAGTTTTTCCTTTCTCCTTCCCTTTTTCCCTTTTCCCTTTTCTTGTAGTTTCATTCTTTTCTTCC